ATTGATGCTACTCTCCAAGCAGAGGTTGTGGGGAATGATCGTTACCTTTTTATAGTCAAATGAAAGATCTGTCCTTTTTAATCATATCAAAGTAAGTGCAAATGATAGGTTTATATTTTTGATGCGTCTAGACAAACCCTGTATCACAAACATGATCATCTCGCTTTTTTTGTACAATGGAAAATGTGGGAACAGAAGTTGACCACGTCTACATTAGCTCAGTGACTAGAACACTTTGTGTTAATGGCCTAGTATAGTAACGGGGGGTGCCCTAATTCCGACCCATCCCTAATACCGAACTAGTTTGAAAAATCCTTGTTGCGGCGTTATGCATGTGAGCACGTGCCTAAAAATAACCACAAGAATGGACAAAGTTTTTGTATTGATATCGGTAATCTCACTAAGTTTGTTTTAGTTCGTACACTCCGACAACAGACGAGTGAAAAATTTGTGTGAATTCGACGCTTGTTCGGGGGTTGACGAGCGTGTCAAAAATGCAGGTTTTGCTTTTCAAACAGCCACTTTGGAGCAAGTCGCGTAATCGTAAAAAGATTACTTGACAGAAAAACAGTTGTAGATTGTTTTAGTCATAATTTGTGTATTATAATTTCTAAACTCTCTTCTCAGATCGACCTGTGTTAAACACTAGGTCGGAATTAAGGCATCCCTGTTGCGATAGAACGTTCCACCGGCAAAATGACCAAAAACCTGCCGTGCGTTTCGCGAACCATTACGCTTGGGTGCAAGGCGCTACACTAAAGTGAAATATACAGCCTGTACAGCTTTAATCATTGTGATCTTTATCTGTCAATATTATAGCTCATGTTGCGCGGGTTTTTGGTCAGATAAACTATTACCAAAGATCTGTGCGTTTGCATGGAACATAGGTCGGAATCAGGGCACCCCCGTTACCCTTGTATGTTCCTTATGTATGTATGTCTAAGTCAAGTAGTGCATCTTTTGTCTCCAATTTTCTATATACGTTTGTTATGTGTCTGTCATATCTTGACCTGTACCTAGCCCGTCGTGGCATGAATGTACAATAAAGGTATTTCATTTCATTTCTATCGGAGTTGCCCAGTCCGCTTAAGTCTGGCGGTGTTGTACTCATACTATAGTGTTCGGTACCGGTGTAGTGGCGGGTTATACATGGTGGAGACATCGCAAAGAAACTCTTCACAAAAATTTCATGCAGAGCTTGGAAGTTACAAAAAAAATTAATAAAAACTATACCAATGTCGTAGAATGCCAAATCAAACGAAAAAAGACGGAATTGTAAAGAAATGAACTTGAAGACTAGATTATTCGCCAAACCATATTCTGTCCAATTTGTTCAACCCTCAAGACCACGTAGATTTCATAATGAAAACAACTTTTGCAAAACTTTTTTTTTATTCGCACGCGCGCATCAGTTTTGGGGCTCCAGGAGAATGTCATCCATATAATCAAATCAACATGGCCTTAACAGAAATAGATGTAGAACTTCATTGACACAACAAAAGTACTGCGACTTTCGTAAGGTTTAAAACTGCCTGTAAATATACAAATACGTGGGTAGAACGAAAATATAGGACGTACAAAGGCGTGTTTTGTACTGTTTTTGTACCTTTTTCACGCCAGCCGAATGAGCACAT